AACATGGGTATATTTGATGAGCAATAAGTCACAGGCAGTTGGAATAATCAAGAGATTTATCACCATGATTGAAACTCAGTTTGAGCTGGTTATCAAGAAAATAAGGTCTGAGGACAAGAGTTTTTGAGCAATGAATTGCAGTTCTTTTTGGGAGGAAAAGGAATAGTCCATGAAGCAAGCTGCACCTGTACTCCACAACAAAATGGAGTAGTGGAAAGGAAGCATAGGCACCTGCTGAACATAGGAAGAGCATTAATGTTTCAAAGTAATCTACCTCTCAAATTTTGGCCCTTTTCCATTTTGACAGCAGCATACCTTATGAACAGGCTGCCAAGTGCTCTACTGGGAAGGAAGACACCTTTTGAGAAGTTATATGGGAAGCCACCAGATTTTTACTCTCTTAAAACTTTTGGTTGCTTGGCCTATGCAGCCAATGTGGATCCCAAAAAAACCAAATTTGACAAGAGAGGCCTCAGATGTATATTTTTGGGCTATGTGAGTGGAAAAAAGGGCTATCAACTTTATGATCTTGATTCTAAGGCTTTGCTGATTTCAAGAGATGTGGTGTTCATTGAAAAGACTTTTCCTTATGTGAAAGAAGGAATTAATGAAGAGGTTGAGGTGCCACTACCTTTGGTTGATGGGATTAGTGTAACTTCAGAAGTAAGAGAGGAGTCTTCTGACTTCTCACCTGATGATGTAGATGAGAATTTGCAACAAGATGAGCTGAGAAGGAGTACTAGAATCAGACAAGCACCTAAATGGCATGAGGATTATATTTGCAGTAATGTGCATGCAGCAAGTTCAGTAGTAGCACAACCATACTTAACTTTCATGTCAAACATACATTCAGAAAAGGAACCACCTCACTACATGCAAGCTTGCAAGAATCCTGTTTGGGTAGAAGCAATGCAGCAAGAACTTGATGCCCTTGAGAGTAACTGTACTTGGGAACTTACTGAATTACCAATAGAAAGAAGACCATAGGGTCTAAGTGGGTGTACAAGATAAAAAGGAGAAGTGATGGCACAGTGGAGAGGTATAAGGCAAGGCTTGTAGCCAAAAGGTATAATCAAGTGGCTGGGGTGGATTATCTTGATATTTTCTCACCTGTAGCCAAGCTAGTGACAGTAAGGGTTTTCATTGCCATGGCTACTATGAATGGATGGCCTTTGCACCAGCTTGATGTGAATCATGCCTTTCTGCATGGTTATATCACAGAAGAAGTGTACATGGCACCTCCTCAAGGCTACACTAAGGCTCACAAAGGGCAGGTTTGTAAGTTGGTAAGGAGCTTATATGGTCTTAAGCAGGCTTCAAGAGAATGGAATAATGAACTTTGCAAGAAACTGTCTGATTTTGGTCTGATTCAATCTGCATATGATCATTGTTTATTCACACTTACCACAGGAGGCCATTTCTTAGCCATCTTGGTATATGTGGATGATATTCTCCTCACTAGTTCAAGTGAGGAACTCATTACTCAGCTCAAACATTTTTTGGACCATGAATTCACCATCAAAGATCTGGGGCCAGCAAACTTTTTCCTTGGGGTTGAAATATTGAGAGATCATGCTGGAACTTATCTCTGCCAAAAGAAATATATCTTGGATTTACTGGAAGATATGCATATGGAAGCATGTAAGACTGCTGCTACCCCTTTACCTCATGGTCTTCAATTACACAACAAAGATGGGGTTTCTCTTGACAATCCAGATGAGTACAGAAGGCTCATAGGAAGATTACTTTATCTGGGAATGACTAGATCAGATGTAACATATGCTATTCAACAGTTAAGCCAATTTGTGAATGATCCTTACACTTCTCACTGGGATGCAACCATTCATGTGTTGAGATATCTTAAAGGGACTGCCACTCTTGGTCTTCACTTTTCCAGTCACGAGCTTGCTTACAGCCTACAGTGATGCAGATTGGGCGGCTTGCAAGGATACACGCAGATCTATCACTAGTTATGCTGTCTTTCTGGGTGGTTGTCTTATTTCATGGAAAAGTAAAAAACAAACCACTGTTTCCCGCTCATCTACAGAGGCAGAATACCGAGCTTTGAGTTCAACTGTTTCTGAGCTTCTGTGGATCTCCTACATTGTTCAAGAATTCCATGTGAAGTTAAATATCCTATCCCTCTTTGGTGTGATAATCGTGCTGCCCTCCATATCACTGCAAATCCGGTTTTCCATGAACGTACCAAACACTTGGAAATCGACTATCATTTTGTGCGAGATAAGTTCAAGACTGGTTTTGTTCACCCCATGCATATTTCCACTCGTCTTCAGCTGGCAGATCTTTTCACTAAAGTTCTTACGGGCTCGCAATTCCGCTTCTTGTGTCCAAGTTAGGGATGGTTCCCTTCCCCGCATGCCCAACTTGAGGGGGGGCTGTTGGAATTGTGCATTCTTATGCAAAAGGAATGAAGACTTCATGCTGTTTTAGTTTGCTGTTTTCGTTTCAGTTATTTCCGTTTTATTTTCTTTTGGTTTTCCCTTTGATAAAACGTGTAGCGACTTTATTAGTATTGTGCGGTTTTCTTTTAACAGTGAACGACACCGTTTTGTGTTGCATGGTTGTACGGTGCATGGGACCCTTTTAAGGTCTTCCCTGTAACTCGTTTTTCCTGATTTTGTGTGAAATAAGAAAATGGTTCCCAAAATATCTTAGCTCTGAAATCGATTTCAACAGTAATTTTTAATTGGAGAGAAAACATAAAGATGTTAAAAGCTTTTATGTTTTGTTATTGCAGGCATTGCAATGAGCATTCAATGAGATACATGGTGATTGGCCGAGGCTCTAACTGTCTGTTTGATGATTTAGGATTTGATGGGTGTATAATTCAGAATTGCATAGTGTTCCTGGAGAATATTGAAGCTGGTGTATACAGAGTTGGGAGTGGTTATCCCATGAACCGTTTGGGTGCGCAGACTGCAAATGAGGGATTTAGTGGGCTCGAATTTGCCGGAGGAATCCCGGGGACTGTTGGTGGTGCTGTTTACATGAATGCTGGTGCTAATGGACAGGTGCTATCAGCTGATTGATTTTTCCCTCTTTTTTTTTTTTCTTTCAAAGAAAAAAGCAAGGAATAGAAAGTTTCAGGGGAACTTGAAAGTTATCTAAATTTGGTTAGACTTGAAAATGGACTAGATTTTGTTAAACATTACCTGTGAAAATTTTCTGAAATACCACTATGAAAAGAAAGAAATAACGAAAAATGACAATCCTTAAGTATCGACCTTGGAGGTTTGTATTTATGTAACGAGTATGTGACAAGATGTTTCGTGCAGTTTGTAAATGATATACTGATCTTTTTCATTTTTGTTTGCGAAGAAATTGAACCAAAGTGATTGTTACAAATTAATCCTTAAATAGACCAACTTTTTGTCATCAGTACCAATACGATGGGTAGAAGAGACTAGCTTTTCCACCATTGATAAGCTACTCAGTGATACCAGTTTCAGGCTCTAAAATGTATTTAGCTCATATGGAAGCCTAATGAAAATAGTAAAAAGAGACTCTGGTTGTTATTTTATATTTATTAATCAGGTAAATGGATGATGTTTAACAAACTGTAGGAAACAGCTGACAAAGTTGAGAGCATTGAGATCATGTCAACCAATGGAGAGTTGAAGACTATGAAAATATATGACCTCAGTTTTGGCTACCGAAAGTCGCCATTTCAAGACATGAAAGACTTCGCCGTCGTGACTGCTGTCACCTTTCGACTGAAGGCCTCACAATCATCAATGCAAAAGCAGCAAGAATATGCAAAAAGGTAACCTTATTGTTAGTATTTGTGCTATGTATGTATGTACGTATGTGTGTGCAGTCTGACAATGCCAATTTATGCATTGGGGTGGACAACTGCAAAAATTATCTCTGAGGATTGACTTACTCATTTTACCATCGTAGGTATAAAATATATGCCTAAAGTTTAATTTATATTGTAACTGAGGGATCGATTGCAATATTTTAATAGTTGTGAGAGGGCTTATGACGTGCTTTTTACTTACCACGGCGGTAATGTAAATGAAAACTCGAGGGTACTTTTTGTGAAAACTAGCTAGAAATTTAATTTATTTCTTAGTAGGTCAAATTTATCTTTGTAATTAACCAAATGCTCAGGAGGAAACTTACTCAACCGGTGGGTGAGAAAAGTTGTGGTTCGGTTTTCCGTAATCCACACGGGACAGAATTTTCGGCTGCACAATTGATAGAGAAAGCAGGGCTAAAAGGGTTGCAAGTGGGACAGGCCATGATCTCAGAAAAGCACGCGAATTTCTTCATAAACTCAGGCGGCGCAACCTCTCAAGACATGCTCGAGCTTATTAGCCTTGCCAAGGATGCTGTCTATAAGAAATTTGGTATAAAGCTGAAAGAAGAAATTTTGCATGTTCATCCATATTTGTGAAATATGATCTAATTGCTTGGTAGCACTGGAAAAAAACGGAAAAACATACCATCACACATGATATATGCTGCTTTCTTTAGGTACAGTTGAAACAACTAAGTACGCTCTATCTTGTCTGTCAGTCAATTCCCGTTAAAATGAACAAGTATTCCAATGGGCATAACAGGTCTCTCTATATTCTCTCCTCTACTCTGCCGTGATGTACCTGCTTGCCTGTTTGAACTTGCAATCAAGATCTGAGAATAGAGGTATAAATGTCTCTGTGCATATAGAGGGAGACTTTGCTGCAAAAAGATCAACCAACGAATAAATCCAAGCGGAAGTCAATGTCATAATGAATTTTCTTGGCCATACTTAGACTGGTATATATTTATGAACTGAGAAATGTGTGTCTACAGTTTCTTGTTATTTGGCTTAACAGAGGAAGAATTGATATAATCTATTATCCTCAATATTATCGATATAATTAAATAACGTCAACTATTCTTATTCATCACATCAACTTTATTTCACTATTTATCCACTCACATAATTTTAACTAATTATCACTTCACATTATTTTTTTATACTTATATATTAAATAATTTTTAATTATTTTATCATAAATATTATTTTAATATAAATCTAAAAACTCTCTAACTAACCATATAATTTTTTAAAAAAAAAAAATTAACCTTGATTAACCAACAAAACTCGTAAATATGACACAACTGCTCCAGGTAAATGTGACACCACCTGATCCAGTGCGTGTTATAAGGTAGCTTAGACGACCTATTAATTGTGAATGCTTCAACTGAGGCATCGGACTCCAATTATGACAATAATTTTGCTTTGGCATGCATTTGGACACAGATGCAATATTAAATTGTTGGAACCTTTTTCAGAAATTATCAATGTCGTGGGCATGGGGCAATTTACCAATA